GTCCTCAGGGAGGACTCCACATATTTCTGTTTCTGACTCATTGACCATGGAAGAGCTACCTCAGATATGCCCCAGCCTCTGCTTTCTCCAACTGTTTGTGAAGAGACAACCCTCCCACCAGTGGCAAAGCCTGCGCCTCCTCCTAAATACATCAGCTGCTGTTCCTGCCACCATTCTTGTCCTTCCACCCTGGCCAGAGCAGAAAAGCAGCAGCCAGCAGCATCAGCCTCCAGCTCCTCCTGCAAGGAACAGGTCCCCCACCCATGGTGCAGGGAGAGGACTCACTGTAAGCTCCTTGTTGAGGAGCACAGCACTCTGTTCCCAAGGCTGGAGCAACACATCCCAAATTTTTCATACTGTAACAGGTAACCTGGGGCAGTTTAACAAAAGCTGGTTGTTAGATCCTGGTCACTTGCAACCTTCCCAGGATGGAGATGCCCCCATTTCTCTGTTGACTTGTTCTGGTACTGTACTACCTTCCAAGTGAAGTAGTCTTCTAGTTTCCAAATGTCCCAAACTGAAGCTTCCAAGCCGCAATTTGTGGTTACTGCCTTTTGATATACCATCTCCTACTACCAAGAAAAAAATGAGCCTTCTCATCTCTGAAACTGCCCTTGAAGTAGTTGTAGGCTACAATTAGATCCGCCCTCAGTCTCCTCCGTGCCAGACTATACACGCCCAGCTCCACCAACCTCTCCGTGCAGGCCATATGCTCCATGCCTCTGGCTGCCTCAGTAGCCTTCTGCTGGACTCTCTCCAGATTCCTCCACATCCTCCTTGGGCTGGGCGTGGGGGACACCCAGAACTGAACATGCTATTCCAGGTGCAGCCTCACCAGTGCCAAGCAGAGGTGGAGGATAACTTCCCTCCATCTGCTGTCCTCGCTCCTCCCAATGCAACTCCCAACATCATAGTATGCAAAGTGCCTTACTCGTGAGGAGACCACATGACACATGGGCTTATATTCAATTTGGCATCTGCTGTAACCCCCAGGGCCTGTCAAGCCAGGGCTGCAACTCAGCCAGTTGCCTGCCAGCCTGTGCAGAGAAATGTGGTGGCTCCAGCCGGGTGCCAAGCTCTGCACCTCACCGTGTTGAACTCTAGAGGGTTCTTCCAGCCCCATCCTCTCATCTGTTGGAGTCCCTTGCATTTGAAACACTTGGAATGTCAACCACACCCTGCAACTTAGTATCACTCCGTGCAAGAATTTTAAAATGACAAAACACGAGTGGTATTTTAATTCCTTTGGTCACAAAGGAATTTTAATGCTGTTACTCAGCTTCTGGCTGCATTTTCCCCAGTTCGGGGTTCTTCCAGCCCCATCCTCTCATCTGTTGAAGTCCCTTGCATTTGAAACACTTGGAATGTCAACCACACCCTGCAACTTAGTATCACTCCGTGCAAGAATTTTAAAATGACAAAACACGAGTGGTATTTTAATTCCTTTGGTCACAAAGGAATTTTAATGCTGTTACTCAGCTTCTGGCTGCATTTTCCCCAGTTCTTGTTTGCTCCCATTCAGTCCTCAGTCTCACTGAGCCGCAGTCCTGTCATCAGCCCCTTCTTGGCTGCTGGCAGCACCAGGAGAAGGATCCTGTGACTACAAGATTTATTGCCAGTCTCTTGTTTTCTCCCTACGCTCCACACACAGGCTGGTGGGACTGGCCCCTAGAGCTCCCCAGTGCCTTTGCATCAAAAGCAGGGGATACCTGGATGTCTAGTTCCCTTTTTCAGGTAACTACTTCTCCATCTTAAATATTTATAGATTGATAAACTGGTCTGTGCATCAAAAGCTGGATGCTGCTGAAGTTACTCCTGCTCTTTTATTTCCTTACTCCCCTCAAAAAGAA